TTTCACCTTGACAGTCAACCCCTAGAGCAAATTACATCCTCTTTCTCCCACCGTCCCCGGTCTTATCCTTCCGACACGTTCGGTAGCGATTTTACTCGTCGCGTTCCCTCTCAGACCTTTGTCTCTGAACTAGCGCACGTCAGCCGTATCTGCCGTCGTTTCCCCAAAGAAGAATCACGACATCTGTCCGCTTGGGGCTCGTTGTTTGTCAACATCTCGCTCATCCCCAAGGAACGTATGGATGTCTTTGCGAGTGATGTCTCGCTCGCTGACGTCTGCGTCGTTGGAAAGGCTTGGAGGGATGGCCCTACTTATCGGTGTTTCTTGGGGTTGCATGCGCTGTATAGATCACCATCGGCGACGCCATCTTTCAGCGCTGAGTTAGACGTGACCGGTCAAGGTGAGGGTGAGGGTGAGCGCAGGGCGACGAGTTCTCCAGGTGGGTGTGTCTTTTGTCCTTTTGTTCACTTGTCCATCACGTAGCTCATCCGTGAGCGACTCTCTCTCTCTCTCTCTCTCTCTCTTTCTGTCATTTACCGCATCTGTGGGTCGTGAATGAGTGTTGCGAGTGCAGCGGGTTTCACTCATGCCCCCAACACCTGATATCAGACCTCGACTGATTCCCAGGCGTGCCCTCGTCGTCGAAACGTTCCAGATCCCAATTCGAAGCTTCACTCAAATTGGCAGGTCTCAAACGACCTGATTGGTCTTGGAAAATCTACGGACCTGCGGTGAATCCTCAACTCGCCGACGGGCAACGGCAGCAAGACGTCACCGAAGCACTCACATCTCAAGATGTTACAACACGTTTTAGCTTCAAGTCGTTGTTCCGTCTGGCGCCCAAACCTCTCCGACCAACCTCTCCGACCAGCTCTGCGGAACCTTCTTTCGCAACAGTCCCTGCACACCAGGTCATCACATCTGCCACCACACTCGCTCCGGAGATCACTCCCACGGCTATCAGCTCTGCGGTTCAGACCACGGCCCAAGTCATCTCACCCTCACCGACCTGCCTCGTCGCGGCCGTGGGTGAAATCAAACCTCTCGACATATGCCTCGGTGATCTCTTACCTACGCTCATCCCTCGTCCTGATTCCAATCCCGATACCCATATCACCACACCTCTAGCCCTCGACGAAACCACCTTTCGCACAAGGATGATTCATCCCAACACGACCTCCATCGTTCAGAGGCAAGACATGTCACCTTCCCCGGCCCCACACGGCAAGATTCTTCTCCGCCATGACAAGCAGACCAAGCAGAACATTCAGCAATTGCGCGATATGTTGGGGAAAGGGTGGGGACAGTGTTTCATGTACCTTGTCCAGTGCGGAGAAGTGTGTGGAACGTGGCTGGGGTGCTTCGCGTTGCACTCTTTCTTTTCCAGATGCGTCCTGTTGGATGTTGACAAGAGGTTGATCGGTGTAGAACTGTCAACTGCACATGGAGCCTATCCTCATCATACTCGGCCCTCTTCTCACCCTCAGACCGACATTCGTTCCAATCGTCAAGCTCAACCTCCATCGTCATCGGTCCCTTCCCGTTCAGATCCTAGCCAGCCCGTCATCATGTCCATGCCCGACTTTTTTGATCATCCTGATCTCGTACACACGCTCGCCTGGGATCTTGGTCAGGACCCAATCGCACACCGAGGCAACAGTCATGGACGTCTTGGTCATGAGCAAGGGAAGGGTGATAAGGGTCGAGATGAAAAGGATCGAGAACACGCGAGAGAGAAGCATTTGACAAATGGCATCAAGCGATCTACAAGATCATAGGACGTATACGGTCTGATAAGCCCTTGGAACCTTTGGTCCATCCGACGTCTATCTCTCTGCCCGCCCCTGCGTTCGGAGCAAAGGGGGACTCTCCCGCCAGAATCTGGACCGATCTCATGAACTCGTTAGCTTTCGTACCTGTCCAAGCGACCTCTGATAGGGAAATGATGAGAGCTGTTGTCGAAGCACGGAACGAGTTGAACAGAGTTTGGAAGTGCGTTTATCCTGGTACACCGATAACCCCTTCGACAGACGCAACGACTCTAGACTTTGTATCGGCAATGCCTGGAGAGGCCGAGTGGCAGGAGGGAGAGGAGGCATTAGTGGATGAACAGGATCGTAACAAGAAAAAGAAGAAAAAGAAGATGGATAGGTCAAACGATGCGACAGGGAGGTATGATCGGGATGATCACGGCGATGGTGGACCAGGTGGTGGTGTGGACGCAGCTGTGAAGGACGCGAATCCAGATGGCGGACGGGGTGGTGCTCGTCTCCAAGACGACTTTGGTGAAAGAGATGAGTCTGGTGATCACAAAGAATCTCACCACGGCGGCGGTACTAGTGATAAAGCTGGGGATACCGACGTGTACCACACATCAAAGGGTTCCATCGTCAGCGACGGTGGTCAACCAGGGTCATTTGTGTTGCACAAAGCTGGGCAAAGTTTAAAGAGCAATACAGGTCAGTCTCTTCGGAAAGAAAAAGTCAGGATTGACATGTGAGCTGATAAAACAGATACCCATGACGTCAACACAACACGCTCAATGAATCATTACCACCTCCCTCCTCCTTTGCTATCATCATCCATTCCCACTGTATCCAGTTGGTCAATCCCCACACCTGACGCTCCTGGTACTCCTCACTCCTCCAGATCACCTCGCACAAGCATGGTTGCATCTTCTCCCTCACGAGGACAAGGTCAACGTGAGACGGGTAGCGCGCATGAGGTATTCGGCAAGCAAATGACATTTTCAGAGCAGGAATGCGACCAATCTCTACGGCTGAGCGGCCCATCACAATCATCGTTCGAAGTGGAACATGATGCAGTGGGTTTTCGTGAGAACGAGAACGGACAAGAGGTTTTTCATCGTCATTTGAAACTCGAAAAAAAGCTTCTCGGGACTCAAGGAACTTTTAAACAACCTTGGACCGATTCGCTCGTACACGGACTCGATGTGATCAATCAACAAGTGAACGGAGTCAGAAACAACACTACCGGTGACCTTGACACCAACGTCGAGCAACGTCATGTGACCGACGCGGAAATGAGTGACACTCAAGACAGGTGGGAAAGGTGGAGCGACGACGATATGATGGACAGTGCAGATTCGGATACTGAAGAATACGATGACGAGCCTTTGAGTGACATGATGATAGCCACGCTTAAAGCAATGAATTGGTCGGTCGTGCCTCTGAGTAAGGAAGATATGGACAAGTTGATAGATCAAGGTGTCGGGGAAACGAGGTGATATATACATCCCCAGCAGCGCTCTTAAACCTTTCATGTGATTCCACTACGAGGTCGCATCCGACTATCATGATCCAAGTATCACTAATTCCTCGGTCGCCTTTCATACCGTCTTCGTCGTCCCAAGAGTAGTAGTACGCCTCGGAAAGTGGATCGAGAAGACGATAGTAGTCTTGCAATAGCCGACAATGCTGGTACCCCGTCAAAAGCGTGTATGGCATCCCTTCTCGACTTTGCCCACCATTCCTTTCACAGCGTACACATTCCCGAGAATCTTCCACGGGCTGCCATCTCCTGCTTGTAAACCAGTCGGCTTGGCACAAGAGTTGATAGGCGGTCACGGAACCAGACAGCTTCTCAGAACCTGTCCGACCATTCATTCGTAAAACCCTCTATACCTGCGGAACGACTCGATGATATCACTGCAAACCCTCGTCCTGATAACGAGCCGGATTGAATCGTCGAATCGCAGAGTATGGCACCCCAGAGGGAATTGTTCAGTGAGCCGATCAATCGGCGAAGGGGAACAGTGGAAAAAGGCAAGGGAAGAGACGACGGGGGAGAAGGAGCAGGGAGTATGGGATATCTATCAAGGATGGACCGGATCATAGAGGTCTCCAGCTTTTCTCAGCTACCACTCGTTCTCCGTTGTTATCACTTTTCTCAAGTCCAATCCATGTCGGAACATATTCAAGGACTGAACCATCATTCGCTACGCTTGCCCCCCCCCCCCTGATCACCCCTTCCAGAGGCAGAACCTTTACTTTCCTCGCATCACTTGCTGGCACATCCATCCCCTTTATCCCCCGCCTGCTCTTACCGCACCACGAGCCGGCCCGAAATGGTGCACGCACGTCTGAGACCGTTCAGTCGGCTGCTTCAATACGATTAAACTCGGCTTGTCGTCCGAGACAAGTCAACGATAGACTATCCGCGACAATCTTATCCCCTTCAAACTCTCCGGCCATTGCACCAACAAGCCGGTCCGCCGTCTTCAAGATCAGGACAGAGGACACGGAGATAGGATACACAACCTTGTTCACACCAAGCTCGTGTATTGAATGGTCTGTACGAGATTAATTGCGGAAGAACGATCTGCCCAGTGGAAAGATCCTGAAGCGACGTTTGTCCTCACCTTGATCAATTCAACTCATCCCCTGTTGTATCTTTACATTCCCCACCGTCTATAGAAGCAGTCTTGTGTCAGCACCGTTCGCTCATCAATCAACAGCGCTATCACCAGCACACATTCCCGCAGGCATTCAACCACTACAACCAGTACCACCGCCTTCCACACCAGTTGTTCCAGCCCAGGCACCATTCGTCATTTCGATAGACCAACAACAGATACAATGCCAAAGTCTCCTTACGGATTTAGGTTATGAATCTTGTCAAAGAAGTTTATCACGGACTTGATAGTGACACCCGGACTTCAGTGTCTACCCTTCGCTACCCGCCCATCATTGCCTCTACTCACACCGTCAGTCACAGCTTGTTCGCATTTACTTCAAGAGAGAGAACCGACCTCGAATCATTTTTGGTTACAATAGATCTCAATCATCTTCGAACTTTTCAACCTCAATTTTACTCTGTCAATACTCTGAAACGGATTTACATCATCTTGGGATTGTTGAGAGAGCAGATAGAGATCTATTTGGAGGCATAATCATAACGGTTTTGGTCAGACGGTTGGGAAAGGAGAACGTTTTGTAACGGTGGATCTTTGTGAGAACCCAGACTTACTTTCTATCACCCTCTTTATCAAACTCGAAAATCTACTTTCACTCCACCTCCATCAATACTCGGCAACATGTTTCACTCATTACAACATTGGAATCGATACATCACCCTCACCTTGTAAAGACAGAAATCATTCTTGTGCAACGTTTGAATCAGTAGACCAGAGTCTTCAAATCCGACAATTACAAACATCCATCCTTTATCTCACAAAAACCGATTTCTTTCCATCAGATGACCAATATCACTTTTGCTTTCAACCCTCTCAACAGGTCATGAATTGTTATCACCAAACCACACGTCAACGTGAGAACCCCGAAACTCTTGTAGACGTCTCTCCATAGTAGATAATTAAATGCAACTCTCATCCCCAACATGTATTTCTTCGCATTGCTCTTTTCAGATCTCAAGACAGTGAGATAACTCGGATGTCAGGTGATGACGATAACGAGTATCAATGGTATCCCACTGATCCAAGTTTTATAATAGTGTAGACAATTCAGATCTTAACTCGACTATCGGAGGGGCAAGGAGATGGTACACCCACCACACTCATTTCGTCGGAAGAGAAAAGGAAGAAACAGTTGGCATTACAACAAAAACACAACGAAAAGAACTCGAGATTAGATGCGGAAAGTAAAGTAAAAGTGGTGAGTTTTCGGTTTTCCTCCTTTGGTTTCTAAGAAAGTGTACAGGGGGAGTAAAGTCAGGATTCGAGTTTGAAAGTGGATATAACTATCTGTCTTACATGAAAAGATCAAATGTTGATGGGTGACATTAATATTGATAAAATACATGAACAATACATTTTGAACAACTTTATTTGACACTTCTTTGATGATCCCAGACAAAAATTTTACACTGGAGAAATGGTATGGATATTTTGTTAAAAGAGATGATTATGATTGATACTGAGAGGTTGGTAGTTTAGTTTATTTCCCCCTTTCCCCCTATCCCCTTTTCGTTTAACCCCCTCTGACCCTAGTCCTCTCGTTTACAGAAGTGAGAAAATCGGAAACTGAAAGTAAAACTTGGGGATCTCTTCCTTCCGTTCCAGTCATTAGTATGGAGGTAAAAACTCTCACCGAATGCCGAGTACCCAATGCTCACCAGGCTTTTTTTTTTAATTATTAGAGTGACGTTAACTCTTAATCAGCTATAGATCAAACAAGATCTAAATCTGGCAATTCACGTAAAATGGATACCTAACACTCAATTTGGAGCATATGAATTCATAACTTTGTCCAAGGATATAAGAATAGGACTTGGGAAACATGATAGCAAGGTTGTTGTTGTTGATGATGATGATGATCAATCTTTCGTTTGTTCTTCATTGAGAAGGAAAGTCAAAGGTAAGGGAAAGGGAACACTTATGCAAGTGGAAGAAGAAATTTCAATTGGCGAGATTTCATGTAACTTACAGTAGTTGTGATTTGAAACCTTGGAGTGTTTTGATGGGTGGTGCTAGAGTTAAAAGATTGAGTAAGTGGGCGAGGGTTTTCATCTTTGAAAGTAGGTCGTTGATTTACTTTTATTAGCGATAGGGGTAAAGTAGATGATGGATGTTATTTTATTCTGATTTGTTTCTCTCAAATTCCCTGTACATATTCTATGTCTCCGTCTTGACGAGTGTTTCACAATCTATGATACAAATCGTGGGTGTTGAAGATACAATCGTGAGTGTTTAAGATACAATTCGTGAGTGTTTAAGATACAATCGTGAGTGTTTAAGATTCAATCCGTGAGTGTTTAAGATTCAATCGTGAGTGTTTAAGATTCAATTCGTGAGTGTTTAAGATACAATTCGTGAGTGTTTGATCTGTAAGAGGTGATTAAAAGTAAAGCATGTTAAAAAATCACAAAGGGGAAAACATATGCGAGATTACAAAGAGAGATGATAGAACAATGAATACACATACATATTAGTTTTGTTCACCTGTAGGATTGATAGGGTCGTCTCTAATCTCTCGCGTTTGTGTGGATTATACTCTTCCTCCAGTTTTTTCATCCCCCCCACGTTTGTCGCGACATTGTCTTTTGTTGTAAATGATAGGAACTATAGAGATATATATATATTCACACACACACACACACACACACACACACACACATAGGATGGGGTTATTTACTTTCCCTTCGATATCAGCAGAAAATTTCATAAGATATCACGTAATTTTTTATCAATTGGAATTGTGAATTCTGAAATGGTATCTTGGATTATTCTCATTGATCATCCTGATGATTCAATCTCTCCTTTTTGTATTCGATTTCGGGATTCAGTTGAAAGACCGTTTGTTTATCATTTCGAATTCTTCATTCTTCAAATCAGAATTGGGGATTTTTGACCGGTGAGAGACTCTCAATTGAATTTGAATTTGAGATTGGGACATGGTTGGAAGAAGGAGAAGAAGAAGAAGAAGAAGCAGAAGAAGAAGAAGGAAGTTTGGTATTATGAGGATTGGGTTTAATGTTTTCGGTCAAATGTTTCGATAGTTTAACTAAAGCTTGTCGTAATCTATCTTGATCGGATAAGAAAGATTCGAATTCTGAACAAAGGTCTTTGATACGTTGTCTTTCTCTTGTCAGAGATAATGTTAGAGCCTGTTGACGTTAGTTTCACGTCGTACAAAAAACAAAAAAAGTTATCATCGTGTGTGTGTGCGTGGACGTAAAGTCAAAGAAAAAGCTAAAGAGCTTACTTCATTCTTCTCCATCAACCTATCTAATTTCACTTGATCTTCACAACGTAAAACCTGATATTTCCTCCATAACCAACGTTCCAACCTATGAAAATCCTTGAGAAGAGAATACGGTCGAATTGATTGCCTGTTACAGTGTCAGAACTGAGGACCTGTCCACCACCACCACTCGTGTCATTCATCTCAACTAAAACACTTATTTTTTTTCGTTCCCTCCCTGGAATTCTGGCGATCGGATGGCATGTTAAACCTTTGGCAATGAGATGGATAGACAGTCAGATGCTGAAGATGATACATACGAGGGAGATGATCATCAACTCACAGAGATAGAATCTCATAATTCTTTTTATCAAACTTATCGCTTTTATCATCCGAACGGATTGAGTGTTATTTTCCTCATGAGATCTAGTAGCAGTTTGCCGTTGATATCGATGGCTTTGATCAACTTGGGGGATATAATGCAAAACGATAAGACTGATCGTCAGTCTTTACTTTTCCTCGGGGTACTCTGTTTCAAACTCGATGTATATCCAGTTGATCAACTAGACTCCTGGCGAGGGATAAAGGTCACAAAGATCCAACTCACCAATTCACGTATGGCAGAGGTAGTTTCTCTATCCCATATCATCTGAGCGAAGAAAGTATCACCTAGAATCTGACAATAATATTGACTGGCAGAGACCAAATCGAAGCCTGACTGAAAGCCATGCACGTCTCTCTATACGGTCAGCTGTGGAGCAAGATGAGGTTGAAGGGGATCGAGCTGTGGAGGGATGGGGATGGGACAAGGGAGGACTGGACTGGGATGAGATGGAGACAAGGTCGTTCGGGATGACTGACCAAGATATCGTCCAAAGTAGCCATGAGATGATTCCTCTGTTCGGGAAAGGAAAGGGGTCAAACCAACGACAGCGTTGATCAACCACTGAGATCAGCTTTGAGGTGGAAGCAGAGGTCATGAAAAAGACAGTAGTGTGATGGGTTGGTAGGTTGGTGGGCTCACGAGGGTACCCCCTCTCGACATGCTCCCCTAGGACCCACCCGAGTTGGCACTGGGACTTACTTGGACTGGGATTAGAAACCCTTCCTTCACCTTGACACGATCATCTCGACCTTGACGATCCGTCTTGTGACAATGGAACCATTCAAATATTTCCCGCCATTCCTTGAGAAAAACCCACAGAGATTATGTCTCACGTGAATGACCCTCATGAACAGATAGATTCATTCTATCGATGATCATGTTCCGACAGTCTCAAATCCATCCTTTTCACCAATCCATCCTCCTGTCCTTTGCTCGGCTGAATCACCACCACCACCACCACCACCATCACCACCACCACCACCATCGTCATCACCCCCACCCTCACTCTCAATCACTTCTGTCCTTGTCTCGACTGTCACCGAAACACCATCATTTCCCTCACCCTTACCCTCACTTGAAGATCTGACTTTGGAAAAAACCGCCCCCTCTATATCACCAATAGAAGAGGGAAAATCAAAATCAAATGCAGTCCCCATTGTTACGTCGAACCCTCGCAATCAAACTTTTCAAGCTATCGATGACGATCCGATACGTGGAAATATTCAAGTATCAATAGTATCCAACGATCCTCATCATCTTCTGAAGGAAGATAAACCTCTCATCCGTCACATTTACCTCCCTATAGGAAGGGAGATGGGGTTCATTCGATATTCGATACAAAACAACACAAAGAAGGAGATATTACCTACTTGAAAAAGTTCTATTAAATGGATCTAAGATCTATAGGTCTTTCATCAGGTTACAGATCGATCAGACTTCTTTCAAGTAAACAGGGATCAATCGTCTTGAATCGAGGCGATCAAAAGGGAATGTTTGAAAATGATAAAGGATTAAATTTAGATGTGTCCGAAGGGGAGAAAGATGACAAAGGATCAGGATCTGGTATGTCGGATCAAGGTAAGGAGACTCCAAAATCATCTTTTCACGAATTGATAAAGATTATGGTATTAGACATCTACACCATTTCACCATTCATTAGATTTCAATCAAAGATTACGTTTCATAAACCTTTTTCTATATCTCATCACGTCTCTCCTCCCCCTTCTCATATTCCATCAGAAAACCATTCTCATTCTCATCCTGAGACTCTTTCTCAATTTCAAACTCTTCCTCAGTCTGGACCAGATCCAAAATCGATATCGGGCAGAAAACCGGAACCTCCTTCCTGTCATGGATTAGAAGACAGGCTTAGTAGATGATGTCATGGTGACATCATGCTTTGGAATTGTTCACCGTAGATCTCAGTGACATCATACTTAGGCGTGAATCTCACCTAATAAAAGTGTAAACTTCACCGAGCAGAAACGTAATGATTTGAAGATGTCGTTGGAAATCTCATTGGGAAATCATTCGTGCTGATGTCTATATAAGCCGGCCATATTTTGTAGTTTCCCCATCAATGGATCTCTTTTCCTCTTGTTCTAATATTACTGACTTTTACGGTTAGAACAGGAAATTTGTCACTCAGTTGGTTTTAACCCAACACTCTCAGTCCCCTCAGTATCTAAGGTAAGGCGAGCCAGAGACTAACTCCTTCAGTACTCAAGGCAGTCCTTTGCTACCGCAGTCTACCCGCAGGCGTGACACTTCCCTACCAGTCGGATCAAAACCCGCCCAAGATCTCGTGACCGATCATCACATCACCTGTTTCTTATCTACTCACATCTTCATTCGAAACAACCATTCCTGTCAAACCTGACAGTCTTCAATTCTGCTTCACAGCTCCTGTCCCATTGCGCTTGGTCCACATGGGTTTGATCACGGTGGATGGATATACCGAAATCTATGATACTCACTGTAGGTACGAGATCGATCTCGCCTTCTGTCGTGGGGGTGGTGGAGGTTGGTATCTCCGAATCTATCATGTTGGTCTTGTCGTTGAGGGTTGGATGTCCCATCGTGGTCATACACCAATTTCGAGCAGCGACATCACGATGAAGTACGCCGGCGTGATGAAGTCGACGATAAGCTTGGACTAATGATAGTCTGTGGGGTTTCGTTAGTCTTTTTCTTGTGTGATTGATCAGGATAGGAATTCGGAGGATTGGGGAAAAGTCAGATGGGATCGTTTGCAAGCTTGAAGGGTGTGTAGAGAGGGAGAGAGAGAGGGACAAGAGAAACTCACTTGACACCATGGTCAAGATCTTTCGGCTCCTCTACAACATCACCTTGATCAGATAAAATCATATCCCATGACTCGTTTCCACTTCCATTCATCCTATTCACCCCTCCCCAAAGACCATGAAAGATAGGAACGACGACGCCTTGTAATCCTTGATCCATGAGTCGATCATAAATAAATACCTCTTGACCGATACAAGCTCGGACATCTGTCTGTGAGAACGTCGATGCGTTCGGAGAGACAAAGGGGAAATACTCCATGCTGGTCAAGCGGATCACTCGGTTTTCACTTGTGGAATATGTCGACCAACTGGATCCCTGACCTTTCGAGTGGTCGATCGTCAACAAGAGGACATTTGTGACGGGGTCACTAAAAGAGGTCGATGATTCACGTTCAGACTCGATGACATGATCAAGTGTAGGGACGGATTTACCAGCGACGCAAGATGAAAGGTCGGATGTTCTCAAGGGACCATGATAGTTTGTATGAAGGAAACAAGTCGCTTTTGATAGGTGAGAAGACGGGTTTGTTGTCAAGCAAAGTCGGATAGGTCCTAGCTACATATGATTAGCTGTTTTGGCATGCGAGAGACAAGAAATGCCAAATATCATGGGAGAAGAGAAACAAGTAGGCGAGGAGTTACAGATCCGGGATTATCATATCAAGTGTGTGTTGGGTGGGACAGGACAAGGAAAGAAAGGAGAAGGAATGAATCGGAGATTGGTCAATGAAAGAGAAACAGGGTCGATGTAAAGAACATATGGAAGAACACAAAGCATAATGTAAAGAACTTTTCTCACCTTTTCCACTGAAAACATTGGCATACACTGCGGACTGGTCATAGCCATTTCCAAGTCAGATAAAGTATACGAATCAAAACCCGAGCTTGTGGAGTCGAAAGAGGACGATGAATATTCTTGATCAGCGCCCAAGGAGATGTCTGATTTGGTGATGTTGATCCTATACGAATCGAGCTTGTCGGTGACACCAGTGCGGTATTGATTACTCGGACCATCACCTCCACCACCGCCACGACGGTTCTGACCACTACTGGAACCGCCTACACCATCACCACCGAGCCGTCGATCATTCGCACCCCTTCGTCCGAGTAAAGTTGTCTGTCTGGTCTCTCGACCAGGCTATTCCCTTTGATCCACAGGTAGTGGCGGTACATAGTCGATCTCTGGTAAAAAACAGTGAGTCCGAGGAAAAGAGTAAACATTTTGTTACATGCGAATCCATTTTCAACTTGACAAACACCATCACGATGAACGGGGGATCGGAGACTGATATGCATGGTGGATCAGAAAGAAGATCTTGGTGGAAGAGGATGGAACGTTCGTAGGTTGTGAGAACGACGAATAGGATGGGATGAGGAGAGGTTGCGAATTCAAGGTAAACCTGAACATGTCAACATTTGTTTTGATCCTTCAGTCAAAGCTGGGGAGAACGATAGGGTTGGGAGAGGATAGAACGGGAAGATGACTACCCACCTGCTTCAAGATAGTCTTCGCATCTTCCCACATTGAAACATCCAACCCTTCGAATTCTACGCCAGTCTCGACCTGTAGACTGACAGTGTTCCACACCAAGCTTCCCATCTTTATGACATGAATCACGAATTCCACCAAATCATCACTCAGCACCGCCGTGGGTTTGATCTCGATATAGATCCTATTCCAAAGATTCCTCACCATGAAACCCCAGTCTGGACGTCCTGTGCTTCCCGTCCCTATGACGTAAAAAGTCCTTTCCAAGACTCCGGCGGGTTGGTTGCGCGTCATACCTGATACGGATCTATCGTTGATAATGGCCAAGATGGGAGAAAACAATAGACTGTAGAGGGCGTGACTGAGTCCTGTCTCACCATCCACTCCTCGACCAAGGACGGCTATCTGACGTGACGAGTTGTCGACGAGACCCGAGGCGATACCGTTGGGACCAAAGACGAGTTTGAGATCTAGACCCCTGGTGAGGTAACCGACGAGATGGATAGAGATGAGGTCTTGGATGAGACGAGGACGATGGAGGAAAGACTTTGGGAGGGAGGAAAGACGGATAGAGTTGGGGTTGGTGGTGGTGGGATGATGAGGACGGAGAGATACCGGTATGGGGAAAGGGGGTACGCAGGTGACCGCTAACCTGACCAGGATGGTGTCTGGGGTTATAGCATGTAGTCATGGTGTTGGTTGATGAGATGATGATAGTGGTGACGGGGAGGATGATGGTAACAACGATGGCGATGATGGCGACGACGACGATGACGATTGGCAGGAAGAGGGACTTTACGTAAGAGCCGGAAGACACAGAGCCTAGGCAGCGTACTATCCTACTACACTACTGTCCTACTGTCCTACTATCCTACTGTCCTACTATCCTACTGTCCTACTGTCCTACTGTCCTACTATCCTGCTCCACGACCGACAGAATTGATTTATTCGTTTGCTTGATGAAATTGTCTGTAGCACGTAACCACTAAGAAAACATCCAACTCTCAACGACCACCACATTTCAGTCCAGCAAGCGACCAAAACCGTCTTTCTATCCTTGGCTCCAGTGTCATCCGTATGACTCGGACTGTCAGGCACGCACTCAGACCTCGGAGGACTACAGACGTTACCGTCAAGGAGAATGGGACCAAGGGGGAAATGGAGTCAGTCAGCTTGGGAATCCGGAGGTGAGTCTGAGTGATGGGCTGAAGCCGACTGGGGTGCTTGGGACTTTGCGAGTATTCCTGAATTTGATAAAAGAGTGTAATGGTGACTTTCTATCTGATCGATCTACCTACACAGATGAAAGAGAATCCTCTTTCCCATCCAACAATACTGAGAAACCCGACAGTTAACAGTTCCGTCCGTAAGCTTTTGTGAGACAGTTGGCCGGCTGTGGGGGTGCACCCATATAACAATAAGGTGAGTTACTTTTTCCCATAATCTCAGATTGTTTCCTTCGACCCCCACTTCTTTCTACCTCTCAAACCATCACTGTCAAATACCTCTTCAACACTTTATCAACCTTGTTCATTACCGCCCGTCAAACTTTTACAACATTATGTTGGATTTGAAATTTCTTACATCATCTCCCTCCGTCGTACACAGCTTGATCATGATAAAGATCTGCGCAGCCCGACGGCCAACGACCCGAGGCTTCTGCTCCGTTTTCAGGTTCATGCTCACTGTTGACTTGCAGCTCTATTTTTTCTCCCCCAAATCCCAAGCGTGATTCCCCAATGCAAAGTATGAATGCAATGATTATCAATATCTCAAGTTCTACACCTTCAAGTCCCTAGCAGGGCGTGTGTCATCCACACACTCTCACCATCCATCAAGTACACCCCATCGTACTTGTTCCCAAGCGTGGAACCCCTCTTGGCCTCAGCTTCACTCTACTTTTACATTTGAATTCATCTCTTTCCTCCTCCCCTTCTTACACTTCTCCCCGCCAAAACAGAAAAACCATTCCCATACATCTCCTTACGGCCTGTCCGTCCCACATGACGACTGACAGGTCCCCAATATCCGTCGGAACAATCCTCCCACCGCTGCTCGAATGGCCTATCAGCATCGTGATCACGCTCGCGATCTTTTTCTTCTTGGCAAAAGGTCTCGGTTTCACGCCAAAGATGCAGCTCGTCCTCTAAATCAAAACATTCACCCGCCCTCATCATCGAACAACGTCCAAAGACTTCACTCCTGGGATCTCAATGACCAAGAGGACAATGCTGTTCGTCCACAAAGTATATCTACTTCTGCCTTGACGAAAGGAAAGGGGAACGTTCGACCATGTCCGTCTTTGCCCGGATGGAGAAGCAATTCATCAAGTCGTTGGCCGGTACATCAAGAGCGCTGGAGATCACCCATTGTGTCAATCGCTTGTTCAGGATGAGTAGAGTAGGGTCAATGTTGTTGGTTTTCCATGGGGAGAAGAGACATACTGTTAGGATAGCAGTGAGTCGATGTGGGGATAAACTCGGCTGACAGATAGGCAAATCACTACACTTACACCGTCATCACCACACTGGGTCGTACAGTCTTGCTACACCTCCCTGGGCCCAGTTGTACGCTGAGGATGACCCCAGGCGATGCAGTAGGTCTGCTCACCGAACAGCAGCTGCACAAGTGGGGAGCTGAATGAGAAGGACGAGTCGGAGGGTCAGCGGATTGTTTTAACGTGTTTGAAGGATAGGTCTACGAAGGAACAGCCATGTCAGTACAAATCATTTTTTAAATTCTGAGCCGCTGTGAGTGTGTTGGGGTCAACGTGTAAGATATTGTCAGACCTGCACCGAAGAATATATGGTGATGGAAATGATAAATACTTGTAGCAGCTGGGTGTCACGCATGAGGGAGGATGTTTATGAAATCGACTCCTACACTTCACTCAATCTCAGTGTCTGATGACTGCTTTTCGTTACCACTCAAACTAATCTACCAGATCTTTCATTCTTACCTCTTTGCCCGTACTCGTACCTTTGTTCGTCACATCAACTTCACTCCCTCGACATGCCCTCCCAAAGCCGGTAAATCCAATAACACTCAGCTTCACTCCCTACAAGCCGCTCTTGAAAGAAATATATCTAGCCGTGGTGGCGTGACGATACCTCCCTGTCACAAAGAAGAACCGGCCTCATTATCGGCTTTCCCCCAAACTATTGATCGACATTGCGATCATATCGCCCAGTAAACGTTCACCCTTTTTGTTGGAGCATTAGCTTGAAGGAGGGAAAGGTCATCGGTTGTCATCTAGGAAATGTGTTGTGAGTCTTCCATTACTTTCAAGTACCACTCTCAATGTCTTTTTTATCGTGCTGCTTTCCTCACGATTTTCACTACCTTGGGCCTGTTCGGTGTTGCCAGGGGAAAAGAGAGAATAAAAAGCTGACCTCAGTCATCCCGAATTTCGTTACGACAACACACCTACAGATCAAATCACACCCCTTGGGGAATTCAAAGACGATGACAGTAGTCTTCCTTTATGTTTTCAATATTTTCTCAACCACAAGTCCCCAGTCACAAGTGTTCGTTCCATTCAGGATTTCAATCTCAATCGCTTGACCCTCTCGAAGATTTTCACTAGCACCCAGGAGATACCAGAAGAGGACAGTGAGGGGAAAGATTCCCTAAGTGGAGATAGTATATTTGACTACTTGGGTCAAAAAAACACGTCACCACAATCTCTCTCCCTATGGCCGAATTATCATCTACGACCTAAAATACATGAAATAAGATTTATCTTCTCCTAGTCCACAGCCATCCAACGCCGTCAAGTCGCTTGCAAAGCCCGCCGCTGGGATTGGTCTGGGGGTCAGACCCCTTCAAGCTCAACCACGAAAGGTCAAGTGTAAAGGAATCGTGAAACCTCGAGCGACATCTGTGGAAACCCCGGTTCGGGCTCCTTCAAATGCGGGAATGAAACGGGTCACGAATACTCCCTTGAAGAAAAATCAAATTCGTCAACATCAAGACGGAGAGACAGAGTGTCCAACAACCTCCAACCCCGTGAGACCTGCAAAGCGGCCCATCAGTTCTTCTGAAGCAAATGGTTCCTCAAATTCGTTCAATTGTTTCTCAAACCTCTCGACCCAAACTGGAAAAATATCTCAGCCCAAAATGATCCTACCTCCTCTGTCAAAGTTGTCCAAATGTTGTTGTTACTGTTGCTGGCAAAAATCTTCAAAGTCAGACCCCCTTCCGACGAAGACGATCCCGAAGCGTTGCTTTATGCCCTAAGTCAAACACGACCTCATTCACAAAGTTTCTGTGAAAGCTCTTCTCGGTCAAAGTGGAGCATACTGTAACACCGAAAAGCGTCACAATGTTTTCACAATCTTGTCTATCCCGCATCAAAGCTTTATCCCTCATGCCCGTCCTGTCAACTTCCCTTAGTCTTCCCGAACCGCTCGTGAGTCCATCCCCAACAAGATACCTCATATCGGTTCGAGGAACCTGCCATCCCAAACCTATCGGGCAATGTCCCAGACCCTCCCTGTAGCCTATTTCAAATATCCATCTTCACAACCTCAGGATGCTAGAGGGTGTTTCGAATCGATTCAGCAGCTCTCTACCGCTGAAGACGATTTGACAGACCAGCGTCAATGCTCATTTTTCTTTCAAACGTGTCTCCTCTGAACAAAGACAGACATTGAAGAAAGGGATTGATGATACCGTTTTGGGGGTCACGGACATGGAAACTCAATAGCATGGTCACTAGATCGTGAGCACGACAATGCGCTTAGACAGATTTCAGATTTGGAAAGACTTCATGAGGTCGAAGTGGAGAATGAGGACCCCCACCTCCCTTCCTTTCCCTCTCCGACGTCCTCCCTGTCGACGCCCTTCCTTTTTGTCCGCTCAAGTGGGGGAACACACTCGATGGATCGTTGCAAGGTCATAATCCCGTGATCCCGACACCTGTACGCCCTCGACGGTGCGAAATTTTCCCCTTGGCTATAAACCGTTGGACTTGAACTCATATTAAGCTCTTATAATTATCTCTCCACCTCTATTCAATCAGCTAAACTTTTACTTTGAGTACTATGTACATGTCGTCGACTTTTCGATCAACTTTACCCCCCATCGAAGAAGAGTATGGGTCTCGTCCCCGACGCTGGATGCTGTACGATCAGCTCGAATCATGGTTGGTTGAACACACACCGGAGTGGCTGTTCCATTGGGGACGAAGGGTTTTTGTCTTTCTCTTGGGAGAAGCAAGGGTGAGGGCATACTTTGAGAGTAGACGGTGGATCAGATACTACCGTGTTATGCTTTAGGTGATGTGTATTGAGGTGGGTGAGTACTTGTTTTAAAAACACCTCCGGCCTCTTGTTTTTACAATCTCGATGGCAACCACCAACAAAGTTCGTATCTTTCTTAGATCACCTTGACTTGCCACCCCCACTCTGTCGAATAATTACACGTCCTCACGGGACCCCCAAAGAGTGTGGAAATCCGACCAGGGGGGGGGGGACGAGATTCGAACACGGCTGATATTCAGACATTCAACTTGGGCAAAGGTGAATTCACGGTTCCCTCACACATGATGTCAGATCTCAGGTGAGTTTATATTGTCAGATGGTGGATTACAGTACCTGGTTGCTGACATTTAGGTCCCAAGGTAAAGAAACAGCGGGAAGCGTTGCTGTCGGCCTCACCAAGAGGAAGCAATACGTTGGTCGATTTCTGGTTGTCAGCGTAGTGCCAGGTGGCAAGGGTGTGAGTCGGTCATTCATCACTTCTACTTCATACATACTATACATGCTTCACTTCTCTACCCGGATAAACCATTTTATGCATAGTTCAATCAGATCAAATCGTGATCGGACACTATCATCATCCTTCGCTCTTATCTGAACTATCATTACATCCGTGTGAAGTATCATTCGATGATTCGTTCGAATAACACTGACAGGCAGGAACCCTAGCGGATTGTTTTCACTCTTTATAACGGCTACTCTCTACAAGTGTTACTCTCTACAAACGTTACTCTCTACAAACGTTACTCTCTACAAACGTTACTCTCTACAAACCCTACTACGAAGCGTTGTGGCCAACTTGTCACATTTCAACCACCCTACGAAGCGTTGTGGAGCATAACCTGCAACACTTGGGTTTACCTCGACCCCGCATGTCCTTGACTATCCTGAGTAAGAAGCGATGCAATGTTCTTTGACCACAGGATTCTTGAAGTTTCACCTCCCGAAGGTTTGCTCATCTCTCCTACTTTCTGTGACTGTCAACTAGTCTTTTCTGTTGATCCTGCAAAAGACATGAGAGACCCCATCTCGTATCCTTCTCTAATTGTGAACTAATCCTATCTGATCATCTTCCAACGTTCACCTACGGTACTCTTCCGTGAAAAAAGGTCATTTTTTGGAAAGAAGGATCAAGAACTTGTGCAACATTTGATGGGCAGACCCTCTAAAATCAATCATAGTATTCAACACGACTATCTCGGAAGCTAGGAGACGGTGATAAAGTGCACGAATGGACCCTCCTGAGAATTTGAGTCTATGAGATTGAACTGAATAGGGAGAGGCAACCGGACGATGAGCGAGATGAATGTGGTGATGGAAATCAAGGGAGTGAGGACAAAGAGGATGGTGATGAAGGGTATGAGGATGAAGAGAGTGTAGGGGATCAAGTAGAGGAATGAAAGTCATTGTGAGTCTTTCATCAGAAATCAATACGGCTCGCCCAGACCTTTTCTTCACTTTGTCAGGTCACCTGGTTGGGTCCCTAGAACGACTCTAGAGCACGGCACCAGTCTGGCCCCACGTTATCTGTAAACCGTGGATGTCCTCAACGCTGATACCCAGAGGGCAACCACACTCAACTGAACGGTCGAGTAAGATCATATACTAAAGGGTGTCGGGCGTCTTTGCTCAGAGGACAGAAGCAAAACTTTGGATCGTGTTGCAGGAAACCAAACACCGGAATGAAAAGTAGGACGTCCGGTAGTAAATTGTGTGTCATCCTTCTTTATAGTTGGTTGGACCCCCGCCTGCAAATCAGTTTTTGAACGTCACAAATTCTGTTTATTAACGAGTCACCTCTTCCACACGTTCCCAGAATTGAGATCACTTCTTCCCCCATCCTCCTGATTCATACAGTTTGAAGCCCATTACCCAACTCTTAGGGGGGCCGAGGCGCTGACCAGCTTTGGAGAGGGAACATGGTACTTGGAACGGAAACTACACACATCAGTCCTCATTACACCTCTCCTATGTATCACCCACCCTTGATTGCCCTATGACCTGTTCCTTATGACGCCTCATGTATTCCGCCCACTCTTCTGTCTTTTGGTGGGTTTTCCGACTCGTATTTTTTGATAGCTGACAACAGTGGGGTTTTAGGATCTAACAGCCGAGTACTGCCACATGGGCTTAGAGTTACACTCTTATCCTTGCGGTCGACTTCATGCTGATCATACATATTCTGAACCAATACTGGCATCCGACACTGATCAACATCTGCGGGTCTCAGTCCCCACACATCATTGACAAACATTCTGACTCACTAGGTGCATACTTTGCCCACATTTCCACTCGTTCGGCAACTGCCTTCTCACGCGTCCGCAATTTATTTTCCCCATTGTTGCTCACCCTTTTCCTCTTCTCAATCAATTGTCTGATACTGAGTTGGATTGACAACAGGGAGACGTTGGCGGGGAACTGGAGTGTTGGTCAGAAAGCAGGATGTTGACCTAAAATCGGGAAGATTGTCTAAAATCAAGTTGACAAAGGTGGGTTGACTATCTAGACCGGTACGCGCTCTCTGTTTTTCCGACTGAACTGTTTCCTTGATCTCACAATCTGGCTGGTTTGCTGACAACTCGGTCTTTTCCCCCTAACCCACACTCTCACCTTTGCTCTGGCCTGGCAGCCGGATCAAGCCCAGTGCGCGCCCCCCCCCCCCTTGGGTGGCAGAAGAAATAAGTGAGAGCGCAGCGGTTTGTGGAGCTGAAGTGCAGATAACGTCACAGAGAGTTGGGCCGCAGATTGCGAGCTGGGCCCGTGAGGTTTATCGACACTGTCAAGACGGTTCTTCAAACAAGTCTCGGCCATTGAATATTTGGTCGTGTTGGAAAGACGGAGTGCCGTGGTTCGGCTCTATCTCCTATCTCCAATCTCTTTCACCCGCCGCGAAGCGGCGGTCTCCCTGCTAGTTATGTACTACCCTGACTAGAGCTGACTTTTCGGGTGGAGGCTTGGTTGGTGATCTCGGTGGTGGGACTGAAATCGGGTCGAGAGCAGTGGTGATACCGGAGGGTTTCCGATTGTTTGGAAGAGTTATAAGAGATTCTCTCGGAGTTCCAGACGAAGATGATCCTTCACTCGAAAGTATTTCTAGAGCAGCGTGAAAGCCACCGAGTACTTTCGAAGAGTATATCTTGGCTTTCCTTCCAAGTTCTGATGTCAGAGATGTTGAAGTGATAGGTCGAGAGATCACAGGGTTATCCTTACGTCGTTTGGTTACTGGAAATACAGGTTTAATCTTCAACTTTCTACCATGAGGGTAAGATTGAGCTTGAGAAGAGGATGGGCGAGTCTGAGAAACTATAGCTTTCGGACTATGAGCTATACCTTGTTGAGACCAACTTATGACGAGTTTGTCATATAGAGAAGGAAGATCTTTGTCTCTTCCACTACATGTACTTGTAACACCTTGTTGGAGCTCATATTGCTGATCAGGTGTTCAAAATACCACTGCCCTGAACGTTTCCGATGTCAAATGCCAGTTGTGTATCATACAAGTTCTAAGTACCCCCATAGGTTAGGTCTCATTTGCTTGATGCATGCAACATTTCACAATACATGTTAGGTGCCGTACGGAAGACATGCCACTTGGAAGCTGCACAGGTCCTGAGACCCCTTTACGTGCCAGACTGAAGATCCGTGCCACTTCAAAGCTGCACAGGATGAAGTCATGACTCTTCAAAGAGTCACATCTTCTGGGTCATGCAGCTCAGAAGATTTGAAGTTTCTCAAACATCACTGGCCAAGATTGACTGTAGATCAAGCATATGATACTTGAAAGTGATTATAAGGAGACTACCACAAGAAATTTGGCAAATACATGCAAGGGAGGAAGAAAATTGATGCAGGAATCTTCATCTTGTGTAGTGAAAAGCACAAGCGTCGGATAAGCTACTCCCTCCTCTTTTTGACAGAGAACAGATGAGGAACATTTCATTACAGCTGTTGTCACGAACTACGTCGCGACACCTCGATTACTCCACCAACAATGACCCTCCTTTGGCCATCAAAACCCCATCACGCCTTAACCTCTTTACTCTACACGTAACTCAGGACTTCTGACACCAAGTACGGCGAAGTTAGACGGAGTTAGGCTAAGTAGGAACAATGGGAGCAGAAGTACGGCGAAGTTAGACGGAGTTAGGCTAAGTAGGGACAATGGGAGCAGAAGTGCGGCGATGTTAGGCGGAGTTAGTCGAAGGAGGAAGAGGATGGCCGAGGGCTCGGGGAAGTTGGACGAAGTGCGTTGAAGTACGTCAAAGCGCGAGAGGGTTGGATGAACGTCTAGGAGGAGTAGCTAATATTAGCTGAGAAGATCGCTGAAGTTCTTCAGCGATCCTTGATTGTTGTCAGTAGTAAAAGACAAATAGAGATAGCTATACATCGAGATACATCGCCATCAATAGAACAAAGCCTTAGTTAGAGTAACTACGCCGAAGTACGCCGTAGTTACACTCCTTTCGACGTCTGCGCCCTCCTGGTTGGGTGAGACATCGACTCAGAAGCGTGAAGTTAGCCGAGGTTCGTCGACCGTCGGTCTATAAGGAAGAAGTTGCTCGACGGCCGTGACAGTATCAAGGATCGCTCTTACCGACGACCCGTGCGAACCTCGGAGAAGTACAAAGATAATATGGAACCAGAAAGAAGAATTACACGAGGGATGAGTAGGGATGGAGACAGGATGGAGGAGAACGAGAGGAGAGCATTGGAGGAGCTTAGCAGAGCAATGGGGCAGGACCTTGGAGTGGAGGATAGTGTGGGGGGATCAATTCAAGGAGATGAGTTCGTTCCACCGGTGCCTTCTAACCCTCCTTCTCCTCCGTCTAATGCTCTCCCACCTGCGGGATCCCCACTTGGATCAGACCAAACCCCACGCCCAAGAGAAAACACTGGAAGTACGGCGAACTTGGGAGAAGAAGGAACACAAGGGGTGGTGTTGGCCTTGATGCAGATGGTGGCGAATATGAACAAAGACATGATGGAGGAGAGAAGGCGTAGGGAGGAATGGGAACAGAGAAGAGAAAGGGATACAGTGGGCGGGATTGCAGAAGGGATATCAGAAGGAGTGAGGTACGCCATGGGACGGCAAACTTCGGCGACCCCAAGCGTAGTGGGCGAACAACGGAAGGGGATAAAGCTACCTAACCCAGACCTCTGGAGAGGAGATCGGAACAAGTTAACCGCCTTTCTGTCTGAGTGCGACGTACATTTCGAATTGAACTCTCATCTTTTCCCCGACGACACTAAGAAAGTCTTTTTCATGATCTCTCATCTACGCGAAACACCTCTTCTTGCAGTGCAGCCCGATCTATCCAAAAGACCTCTTCCTGAGTACCTCACGACACACGATCAGTTCCTTAAGTACCTCAAGACTAACTTTGGTGATCCAGACGAAGAAGGAACTGCGGCCCGACAACTTAACGACCTCAAGCAAACCGGGTCTGCTTCGGACTACTTCTCCGCCTTCCAGCGACATGTTGCGATTCTTAAGTGGTCTGATGATGGAAACCTAGTTGACCGAGCCAAGAAAGGACTAAAATCGCACCTTCTAGATGAAATTGCAAGACACGGTAGATCGTTTGGGACTGTGAAAGAGCTATTGGAGTTTGTGATTCCCTTGGACAACCGCCTGTGGAGGAGACAAGTGGAGAAGGAGGCAGAGAGGAAAAGGGAAGGAGGGATAAGGACAACGACAGTGGTGGAAAGTCAGAGGACGGAGAAGAAAGAAGAGAAGAAATGGGAAAAGGGGCAACCTTCGGCGCAGGGTGGTGTCCAGGCGGCTATGATGTCGACGGTGGTAAAGAGTACACCGTCAAACATCGACGAAGTTCGCCGAAGATGGCCTAGGCCGAGCTCCGATCTGAGGGAGACAAGGAGGAAGGAGGGGAAGTGTACCGAGTGTGGTGAAGCAGGACATTGGCTGAAGGAATGCCCTGTAAGGGAGGCTAAGGTTAAGGTTGGACTGTTGCCTCCATGGGGGGAGAAGTTCGGAGAACGTGGTGGAGGATCGGGAGGGCACGCAGTACCTCTCGGACAGAGGAGGAACTTGAATGTGGTTGGAGGAGAAGTAGATTTGGAAGAGGACCAGGGAAAAGAAGAGGACCTGTCGCAGTAGGCGAGGCTCGGCGGGTCCGCCATATTCTCTCGGCCACCATTCCCAAACCCATAAAAGAAACACAGCTGATGGAGCCAGAGGATTGTGAATACAAAAATACACCACTCAGTACCCCTTGTTCATGCAATGTCGATAATCATCTCCTCATCCCTTCCGTTTCCAGAGATCAACCTAAATCGGACATTTTCATTAATGGAATAAAGCTAACTACGCTCTGGGACACTGGAGCTACTTGTTCATATATAAGCCCTAAGGCAGCAGCGAAGATAGGTGTAGAAAAGAGGCGATATCAGGTGAGCGTACCCGTTCACATGTTCGACGGCTCGGTGAGTGTCGCTGGACCCATCACCGAGTTTGTCGAAGTCGGATTTAGTTTGACGAAGGACGCCGAAGTGCGATCTGTTTGTCTCGATGTAACAACGCTCTGCGACGCAGATGTTGTGATAGGGTGGGATTGGATGAGGAAGGAAGGGGTTGTCCTTGATGGAAGAGACAACTCGGTGAAATTTCCCATCCCAACCCCACCAAGTGCGGCGAAGTTAGCGGCCATAGGGCTGCCGACTCTGACGGACGCGATAGACCTCCGCGGCGAAGATGAGCTTGAAGAGCTGAGCCCGGAGGAACAAGACGAGTTGTTCCAGGTAGTTCCTGAACAATACCACCAGTACATTGACGTTTTTAATCCGAAGAAGGGAGGAGAGACCCTTCCCCCTTCAAGGTCCTACGATTTGAAGTTTGAGCTTAAGGAGGGGGCGAACCTTAAGGTCGCCTCCCTCTATGCTCAAGGAGAAGATCAGAGACGCGCGCTGAGAGACATACTAGATCGCGAAATCGCCGCTGGCCGAATTCGGGCAAGTAACTCGCCATACGGCTCACCAATGTTTATGATACCGAAGAAAGCCGAAGGACAATGGCGAATGGTCATCGACTATCGAAAACTGAACGAAGCGACCATACCAGATGCCTACCCTCTCCCTCTAATAGGTCAAATTACCGAAGAACTTGGAAAAGCAAGGTATTTCAGCAAACTAGATCTAATTGGAGCATACCAATTGTTGAGGGTGACAGAGGGACATGAACACCTGACGGCGTTCAGGACACAGTATGGTATG